GCTGACAGCCATGCCACTATCATTGAGGGTTTGTGGAGTAACTGTGGGCCAGGTACTGTATGAAGCACTTCCTGTGCGTTATTTCATTTAATCCTCCCCAAGAGGAACGTTTAACCAGGCGCGCACTACAAGTGAGAGAGAGGTGAACACTGCGCTGGGTGCTGAGTGTGCTGAGTGCATCACCTGGATCACCTTGGGCCACGCGCACGACTGTGCCACGGGGCAGTGCAATCATCACTCCTGCATTACAGGTGCGGACATGCGGTACAAAGGCATCAGATAGGCTGCAGCCCGGAGTGGAGTAACTGCCCAGGACAGAACAGCTGCCCAGTTACAGAGCCAGCATTCAAACCAGAGCCGTCTCCAAGAGCCCACTCCCAATCCACTAGGCGTGGGGCTCTGAAACCTCCTCGTCATGGCCCATGTAGTTGACGAAAAGGATCCCGAGACTCTCAGACCCACTGTCCACACTTTCCAGTGGAGAGAGAACTCAGGGACAACAAACGGAACTGGAGAGAAACAATATAACAATCAAAATGGCAAAAACGCAGAAATAACAGACCCAGATGATCGGCAAGAGCAGCACAATACGGATCCTACAAATACGCCAGTGAACACGAGCAGGGCAGCTACCGACAACCACAGAGAGCAGGATGATGCTGAGGAGCCCCTGACAGACAGTCCTAGCACTTAGGTGTCGGATCTCCAGCTCTTTTCCTGGGCCGTGCACAGTAGGAGTATTGTAAGGTTGCTAAGTAATGCCTGGCAACCAGACCCCAGGGTGAATCATTCATTAAAAGTCCTTGGTAACCCTAGCAAGGAAATAATTTTAGTCCATGAGAGCCAAAGTTTAGAAACTCTTAATAACTCATGAGTTACAATAACTAGTAAGTTGTCTTTAGCCTTGCATAAAAATACAAATCAATGATTGCCCACTTTTCACTTGTGAGAATGAAAGTCACCATTCATTTAGTCGACACGTGTTTGTGGAGAACCTAGTATATGCCAGACACTGTTCTAGGTACTGGGGAAGGACCGTAAATGGGAACCATTAAGACTGTACTAGAATTCTGCTTTCAAGAACCAAGAGGCCCAGAGAGGCAGAGAAATCTGTGCAGAGTTGCAAAGCACTGTGTTTCCCTGAAAGGCCAGGTGGCCCCAGTTGGCTCAGAGAGGCCCTGCGATTCACCCGCTTGCCCCTGGCCCTGTGAGCTGGCCCTGAGGGCTGGGAGTGCCAGGATGCAGGGCTTGGCTGTTGAGCATCTTGGAAAGTCTCCCACTTGACCTTGGGACCTCTGTGGTCAAGTGAGGGAAAGCCTGTGACACGGTGTGGGTTTTCATTGGACCCGACCACTGGCGAAGCTCGCCGTCATCTGGAGCGATGGAGAAAATTAAGTTACCACATTCTCACGTTTCAGCCTTTCGCCCGCTTTCCTTCGCAAACAGGAAATGTTTATTTAAATACAGCAGTCTCCAGCATGTTCTGGAGCCAAGTGAAAAACCAAAGATGTCCACTCTTGCCCCACGCCGCTGTTCGGGCCACCACCTCGCCGTGGGTGCGAAGGGGGCCTCCGCCTGCCTGTGGGCAGGATGGGGAGACAGGGCCCCGCGTGAGAGCTCGTTTTCATCTGTCTCCTCTTTTCCAGGCCGAGATTGTGGTTGGAGAAGAATTACATCTGTGGGCTCCTTTTGTGCTCGGAAGGGTAAATGCAACATCTGTTTACTCTGTGCTCTGTGGTAAATGTTTTGTTTCAGGCAGCGCCACTCACTTCCTCTCCTCCGGCCCTCTATCTGTGCCGCACGGATAATAAATCACCCTCAATTCTCCTCCGCGTTTATTTGGCTTTCTGGGGCATGTCACCTCCTCACGGAGGGGGAAAAATTGTCGGTAGTTTACACACGGCAGGGAGTTTCTCTCTCTGTGAGATGTGCTGACATTCTGGAGAAGAAGCTGGAACCCAGACCCCCGACTCGGAGAGCAGCTTAATTACCAGCGACGCAACAGGCCCCGCTCCAGGCCTGCAGCAAAGTGCCGATGGCGGCCACGTCAGCCCCGCACAGGTTCTCCTTCCCCGCAAACCGAGGCCCCAGGGTTCAAAAACACCCAGAGAAACGCACACGCACCACCTCCTTCAGGAGGGCTCCTTGGGGAGGCGGAGCGGCAGGGATGAAGAAGGGAGAAAATGCTTCTCCTTTGTTATGAAACACAACGTAAACAGCAGAAAAGTAGATTTTAGGAAGGCTCTGAGCGTCCGACAGCAGTGCTGACAAAACGTGTGCCCCACGCAACACTGAACTCGGAGAAGTGTGAAGGGCTCTCACTAGAGGAAGTTTCCTTCTCCTGTCCTTTGCTTACATTCTTTACACTGAAGTGCCGGCTTTTCTCTGCGTACGCAGTGATTTTATACACAGTTACTGGAAGGCAGTAGAGGCCCGAGTCACGTTTGTTGAATGAATGAAGAAAGGAAGGAAGGAGAAATTCTTCTCTTCACGAGATCCTTTGCAGGGACATGCCAAATATCCCCCCAGAGTTTGCAGAAATGAAATGTTACGTCCGAGCTGACGGAGAGAGAGTGAAGGGTGACGAAGCACTGTTGGTGGCCTGCACCTAACCCTTGTCTTCCTCCGGACCCAGCTTGCTCCTGAAGGCTGCCCCCTCTCCGCCAGAGCAGAGAGACGAGAAGAATGAGGGCCAGCCTGGCAGCTGCATCGCCCCCTGCACCCCAGCCAAAGTGGCACAGAGACCAGAACCAAGGCAGCTGAGAGCCAGGCATTCCCGAGCACCTCCGGCCCTGCCGGTGCCTGCCGGTGCCTGCCAGCCAGCAGGACTGCAGCTGGGGCACGGGGCAGCGCCTGGACTCCGGCCTCCAGTCCCCGTTTCTCCAGTCACAGAGCAGAGGGGAGCCCGGAGCTGAGCCGCCCGCATCTCCCGGGGTGGCATGCTCACTGTAGCGCTGTGCCTGCAGCTTTTGAAGACCTCCTCCATGCCAGCAGGAGAGGGGCCCACTCTCCTTGGTTTCCCAAACACGCAGCCTGTTTTTGAAGATGGAGGAGAAGTAGCCTCCGAAAGGAGAGCTAATGTCCAAGCGAGCTGGATGTCGCGAGGTGCACCTGAAGCAGCAGCAACAGCTGCCTCGTCTAAGCCCCAAGCCCAGCCAGAACCCTCCAGGACCTTCTGTTTATGGATCTCGGCCCAAACCGACTCCTGTTCCAAGGATATGCAGCCGAGTAGTAGGGGGTGTGGACTTAGGAACCAGACACGCTCCAATTCGAACATTTAAGTAGCTATGTGACCTTGAGCAAATGACAAGATGGCTTAACCGTAAAGTGAAATAATAAGCATCACCTACGTAACTAATAAGACTGTTGCAGAGATTCAATGAGATAGCACGTGTAAACAAATTGAGGCAGGAAAAGCATTCATTAAACATTAGCTACCATTATTATTCCACTAGCTCCGGCTGGCCCGGGTGTGAGCAGGGAGGGGAGTCTGTAAGTTTTAGTGATCCAAGAGCACCGCCAAGACCACTTTCTCCCCGGTGTGGTAAAACGTACTTTGTTCTCTCATCGGCTGTGGGAACCTGGATTCCGGTCCTTTTATTGCCACCACCTTGGGGTGTGGCCTCGGGCAAATCATTTCCCATTTCTGCGCCTTGTTTTCTACCTGTGTTAATGCAGGTTACGCCCCAACCCTCTGCGGCTGCACGGCTCAGCCCCCCAGATGGGCACTGCAGTTGTGGGGGGTGGGGGGATGTTTTCGGCTGAAGGAAAGCTCCAGGAACAAGACAGGCAGTCCCCGGGTGTCCCCACCCAGGGCCATATGAAGAAGAGGAGAGGGAATGAGGTGACAGGAGGTGAGGAACAGGAATGACACACTCTAGGACAATTCACCTCAGACTCATCGCTCCTCTCTCCCCAGAGTGGAGGCAGGAAGGCAGAAGGGAAGCCCCGCGCACCTACCCCCAAGACACGTGAGGAAGGCGGGCGGAGGGAGAGCAGACGCGCAGAAGTCTGCCACACCAGAGCAAACCCTCACCCACTTCTGGGCTGTGTTCCCAGGCCCCGTCCACCCCCCTCCGCCCTTCTCCCCTCCTTCCCCACTCCCCAAATGCAGGCTAGGAAGAGCCCACCCTGAGTCCAAGTTTTGAATTTGGTCCGAGGTTCAAAATGATAAATGTTTCCAAAACGTTGACATATGAAATGTAAATATTTGGTTGCACAATTGGGGTTAAAACGAGGGTCAATCCGCCCCACTCTCTGAGCGCCTCTCTTCCTGCTGCCAAGCCCAGGACCCGAGGCTGAGTGCGGTTTATGAGATTATAGCGCTCGGTCTCATTTAAAGGGCTGTCAGCATTTCCCTCCTCCGGCCCTTTTGGGGAGGCATTCATAACCGAGCCCTAAAAAATTCACCCGGGTTGCAACTTGGCATCTCCAAGGCTGCACTCCAGGCAGGGCGGGTTTTGCGAGCACCCACTTGGAATTCGTTTGGTTCCTCAGAAGTTAGACCTTCACACACACTCCCAACTTTCCTCGCAAGGGCAGCCAGAGAGCGGCCGGCCCACTCTGATCTCCAAGCAGGGCACGGTCTCCCGCCCTCTCTCCCGTCTCCGCGCACCCTTCAGCTTTCTCCTCCGCCTCTCAGTAAGGAGCTCGGACCCCTTGCCCTCACCCTAAGATCTTCTACGCGGCAATATTCTCTTCTCTGTCTCCTGCCAGCGTTCTGCTTGGAAGCTGTCAGTGGGCCCTGCGTCCGGAGCCCTCACCCCAGGAGAGTCACGGTTCTTTGCCCATCGCACGGGGCTTCCAGACCACTCTCCCCAGACCTGCCCAAAGCCACAGGCCCCTAAGTCAGAGAGTGAAGGATCCCATCCAGGAGAGGGTGAGAGCAGAGACTGCATACAGTGTGGCCAAGGGAAAAGGCAGCATCTGGCTTCTGGGAGCCCCTCTGTGGGACCCAGGTGGGTGGCCCGGGTGGGGCGGGGCAGGGCAAGGGTACTCACAGGCGCTCGGTGTTTCGGGGGATGCCCCGGGGAACGGCCCGGAGGCCCAGCCCGTGGCAGTCCACGCTGGCGGCGGAGCAGGTACACTTGGTAGGGCAGGCAGCGGCGGGGGGCCCGTTCAGGACGCTCGCCAGCGCCAAGGCCAGCGCCAGGCGGGCGCGCACGGTGGCGCCGGCTCCTGTCCGTCCGGGGGCCATGGTTTGCAAGGACCCGAGCCCGGAGGAGGCTACCTCGGCGGGGCAAGACGCGTAGAGCCCGGGGAGGCGCTGGGGAGTACGGACGGCCTGGGGAGCGGGCGGCGGAGTTGGCGCGGAGGAGGAGCGAGCTCGGCGCTCAGGCGCACGGGGCGCGGGCGGAGCGGGGTGCGCCGAGCGGCGGCGACGGCAGCAGCTCCATCGGCGGGGCTAGCGCTGCCCCGCTGCGCATCGCTCGGAGTGCCCAGGTGCTGAGCGCCCCCTGGCCCCGATGCCCCGCGGTCCGGGGTGCGGGCCGGGTCGGGGACCTGGGGCGAGTGCAGTGGGGCACGGCTCCCAGGGAGGTCCGCCTCGGGGCTGGGCTCGGGAGAGAGGCGGCTGCGGCGGCTGGGGCACGGGGCGGCCGGGTGAGCTGGCCGGCGCTCGCTCTCTCCATTCACTGAGCAGGGCAGACACCAGAGACGCGGGGCCCACCCCTCCGCGCCCCCCCCTCCCCAAAACACGCAAGCTCCGCCTCCCATTGGCTGCGCCGCGCGTCATGTCGACTAAGTTGGGAACTTTGCTGGAGCGACTGAAACCTGGAGGGAGGAGGAGGCGGCAGAGGAGAGGGAAGGTTAGGAACCGGGAAAGGAAAGGGGCTCGGCCGGCAGGGCCCCGGAATTGAGGCTCGTTCACCAAGGGCGACTCAGGCTGCCGGAACTTTTTCTTTATTCTGGCATCGAGCTGGGCACTCTGCTCGGATTCTTTCCTTCCGTCCCAACACCGTCCTGCAAGGGGCCGGTTAAATATCCTCATTTTATACATTAAAACCAACCACCCAACCCTCGGTGAAGTGCCTTGCCAGCAGTCACACAGCTGTTGGGAGCCCCGCACCGCGGCAGTCTCTGACTCACCCACGTTTTTACATCCCAGTCCGCCGAAGTGGTACCCCTGCCTCGTCCGCATAGATCCTCGAAGGCCCTACCCAGTCTTGGCAAAGATCCACAGCTTAGTGCTAGGGGACCTCCTGTATCGATACTAACGCACTCCACAGTCACGCGCGCCACGGAATATGGCCGTCCGTGTTGTCCAGGTCGCCGAGGGCAAACCCTGTCCTGCGCCTGCCCTGCCCGCCCCGCTGTGCCTGCGGTGCTGCTGAAAGGAGCGATAATCGGGGCTTGGCCCCTCGGGTTCTCAGTGCTGCGTCCACAGTCCTGGTGCTTCTGCAGCGTGACCCTGGGGCCATCATGTCAGCTCCGAGCCTTCATTTCCTTAGGGCAAGGAGCCACAGACCGGCCTGGGCCCACCGCACTGGTTGTTTGGAGCATCAAAGAGGAGAAAGTGTTTTTGCAAAACAGTCATTTGCATGGGAGACAGCACTTCTGCCTCCAGCGCCTTCCCACTTCAGTGCCTGCTCTGAATTCGCCAGGTCTGAGCTTTTCCAGATGCTGGCGAGGAGGAGCTGGTGTGCCAGAGGCTCCATAAATACTTTCAGGAATGATTCTGTTTGTTTGTTTGGAGGCAGAGGGCAGGAACGGGAGGAAGTCTCGCCCAGACTTCCTTGAGTGCTGCTCACACTGGGAAAGTCTGAACGAGTCCTGCACAGACACACTGCCACACATAGACACGTATACTCGCACACACATGCTCACAAACACGCAGGCTCACACACTCACACCCACCGACACACTCACAATCACACACGCACATGCATTCTCAGGACACAAACACAGTATCACAGGTATCAGGATGACAACTGGGCCACTGAGAACTCTTTTCCCTCTTATTTATGTAAATGCTATTCTTATTCCTTCTAGCTCATTTTCCTTAAGGAAACTTTCAGCTACCCCACTTCGCCACATCCTATGAATATATAGCAGAGGTGCAGATTTTATTTTATTGTACTTAGCAGATTTTCAAAGTCTTAGTTCTAGGCACCCAATTGTATGTATGCGTACACACATACACACACGCACACTCCAGCCTCCATCATTCATAAACACATTAGGTGCAATTTACTGCTGTTATTCTTGGGAGCCGCTTTCTGTACAGATGCTGTTGTGATCGCCCTCTGGTGGCCACAGAGGTCTTTGGTCCTCTGGTCCTTGGGGTGACTTCAGCATTTAAAGACTCTAAACTTCCTTTCCTCTGAAGCTTCCCTCCAAACCTTGAACCAATTTAGAAGGAGGTCTGAGGCAGAAGAGAGGACTGGGCAAAGGCCCAAGGGCACACAAGCATCTCAGACTGTCTGGAGCAGAAAGGAGTAGGGCTTTCTTTTCTTTTTTTCTTTTCTTTTTTCTTTTCCTTCCTTCCTTCCTTCCTTCCTTTCTTCCTTCCTTCCTTCCTTCCTTCCTTCCTTCCCTCTCCCTTCCCTTCCCTCTCCCTTCCCTTCCCTTCCCTTCTCTTTTCTCTTCTCTTTTCTCCCAAATGCACACTAGAGCATGCTTTGCAAACCCTCCAGGCTGGGCCTGGGTCTGTGCTCTGAGCACAGTGGTGAGCAGCAGGCTGTGTCTCCACTTGGGCTGCTGGAGGATTTCATGAGCCTGTCTAGATCTTTAAGTGACTCAATAGTCATTCAGTACGCATTCAGACACACTTTTCCCTGGGAGAACCAGTTTGGGGCAGACACAGGGGCAAGTCACCCCCAGAGAGAGGCAAGTGCAAGAAGCAGGAGGGATACAGGGCACTGGCTCCACAGGATCAGGGACTGTTTGTGCTGGGACAACCTAGAAATCACCTACCCCAGCATTTCTGCAGGTGCATTCTGACAACCACTAGTTCCACGTGTTTCTTCGTGGGTTCATCCCTGGGTGGGGTGGTTTCCTGGGGCACAAGCAGACTAAGAAATGGAGCTCCCTCCCCCCAATCCTGGAGCTGTGCGGCGTGGATGAGTGGACTGAAGGCCCTGAGGAGTCCTGTGGAAAGGAGACTGGCTTGCGATTTGTGTAACCCTGTTTTCCAGGATAGCTGCCCCCTTTACATGTCAACTGAAAATTCGTGTGGCATTTTTGGAGAACCCTCAGTACAATTCAACCCTGTATTTACTAAGGTGGAAACTGAGTCTCCGAGCGGGCAGGGCACTGGAAGGAGGTCACCCAGCTAACCGGTGAGAGAGCCAGAGCCAGGACACAGAGCTCTGCCCACTGTCCCCCCTGGGGCAGCTGCAGAAAGTGCCAACCTCCTTACAAGAGGCACCCGCCCCGGGGAAGTCTGGGTAAATCCTTGGGAGGACAGGCTGCTGGGTGGGTTTTTTTTTTTTATATCTAAGCCCCAGAGATGGCTTTTACACTGTGTGGTGTGATTTTTCAGAGTTCCCACAAGCCTCTAGGATCAGCTTTTATATTTTTCTCTCCTTTCCATGGGCTGCTCAAAGCAAATTGCCCACATTCCCTCAAGAAAACCCCCTTCAGACTTTCTCCTCCACCTGTTTTCTGTCTCTCAGTTAAAAGGCACCACCATCTATGTGGCCACATTAATCAGTTGAGGTTTTTTTGTTCAGCCACAGAAAATAACTAATTGAACTTTTAAAATGACTCTTTAAGAAGGCCTTTGGGTAGCATACAAAATTTAAGGAAAAAAATGAGGAAGGAGGCTTAAAAAAGATAAGAACCAAGGCAGAATGTAGGTGCCAAGCCCAAGATGTCCAAATGCCCACTGGGGAAAGGCTGAGTGGCCTGGCCGAGGCCGCATCATCGCCGTCTTGGCCAGAGAAGACAAGAGCCTATGGGAGGCAGCTCCGTGGAAACTGCACTCAGCTGGCCAGGGAGCAGCAGTGCTCTCAAGGGACACCGGGGAGCTGCCGGCCGCAAAAGTCGGGGGAGGAGGAGGAGGCGGAGGCGAAGCAGCACCGGAGCATCCCTGCCCGTCTCACACCACAGCCATTCAGTTGCCCAGTCCGGTTGATGAACGCTCCCCCGTGACCGTCTCTGGAATCTACCCCTCCTGCTTCGGGGCCTCCTGCCACCGTTCAGGTCCTGCACGCATGGCCCTTGCTCACACGGCACCCCCGCCAATCCCCTGACGCTGTTTGTTCCACCAGTCCACCCTTCTTCACCCTGAGGATCAGGGGATGTTTCTAAAATGCAAACCTGCCAATGCAGTCCCGAGCTTGGAAGTACAGTCTGCCCCTGCCCCCCCATCTCCTGCTCACACCCACTCAACATCGCTCCTGGATCCTCCTCCTCTGCTCTTTCTTGTCTGGCTAGCCCAGACCAGGTTAGCTGTCCATTTCTCCGGGGCACCCCACTCTGGCCCAGACTATTTGATTCTCCAGGGCAGTGGTTCTAGATAATCCATTTATTCCAACATTTTATTATATGGATTTCAAGCACACGGAGATGGCCAATCCATTTTTGCATGCTTGATTCTTAATATTACCTGGTCTTTCATTCCAGCCATGTAATGGTGATTCAGAGCTTTCTCGTTCTTATACGATCTTGCTGCCATCAGGACAGTGACTTTCTGGGGGTGGGCACGTGACTGAAGGAAGCGCATCAGGGTCTTCCCAGGATTCTTCTGACTGGAACTGGAGAAAGAGATCCAGTCCCTCTGTGGTCGTAGAGCTGCAACATGAGGAACAGGAGTGAGTGACCGTGTTTCCAGCTGTGTGGCCCAAACTGGTGTAACAGAGGACCCATTTCCAGAAGTATAAGTGGCCTCTAGCTCAATTTAGCAATCAAAGAACCATTTGTTGGGAACTTCATATATGCTCAGGAGAAGATACAGTTCATATCTGCCAATAATCCAATTAGGAAGACAAGATTAAGATACAGGAAAGAAGAGAAAAATATGACATATAATTAAATGCTAATTGATGTAGGTCAGATAGTAACGGCTATGAAAATTCTAAAGAGGGCGAAAGCACTTCAACCTGATTGGAAGGGTTGAGTAATACACTGATAATACATTGGGCTTTTGAAGACTGCATAGATTTGATGTTATCAGTGGGGGTGGGGGGAGGAAGGGTCTTTTGCACTGACCAGCAGGGTGTCCAACCCTCAGCCCAGGATGGCTATCAATGCAGTCTAACACAAAACTGTAAATTTACTTAAAATCTTTATTTTTGCTCATCAGGTTTTTGCTAGTATTTGTGTTTTTAATGTGTGGCCCAAGACAACTCTTCTTCTTCCAGCGTGGCCCAGAGATGCCAAAAGGTTGGACACCCCGGCACTAAAGCAGAGGCAAGGAGGCAGAAACAGAATGTGCATGGGGCTGGGGAGAAGACTTTGGGGATGTGGATTGTAAGAGAATTTGGGGCAGATTTCTATTGGTCCAAGAGCAAATTTGAGAAGAAGAGCTTTGAAGCCTGATTCGTCCTTGGCTGTAACTCGCCGTCCCACTTTAGAACCTGGAGGGCCCTGTGCAGAGGGGACAGCTCTAACCTTGACAGGTGGCACAGACTGGAATCCCCGGAAGCCAAGAGGAAATGTGCCCCCAGATTT